TGAGGAGGGGGGTGTCTGTAGTCATTGTCTCCGTCGTCTGTCGTCTAGTGGGTGTTCTAAGCCTAACTGTCCGTGGTTTGGCGTACGTCTATTCCGAGTTCCATTTGGAATCCTTCCTTCGCTGTCTCTAGGATCCAATACGTCCAAATGTCTGTGTAGGTCTTTGTGGTCACGTTAGTCGTCATGGTCAGTTCTTCTGTTATTCTGAGTTCCTCCATTTGGCTGAACCAAGTCTTAAGTGGAGGTGTTATGTTCTGTTTCCAGTATTGGGGGATTACCCGTTTGTCTATATTGAGTATTCGGATGGTCATGGATCGTTTGTACTTAGAGTGTGGTGTAGGAGTGTGGTGTAGGAGTGTGGTGTAGGAGCATTGCTGCTGGTTCCAAGGGGGGTGGTTCGTCTGTGAATTTCTCGAGCATTCTGTGTATGTTTTGCCAATATGGTTTAATTTTTGTGCAGTCCCACCAGATGTGTTTCATGTCTCCCTCTTCTCGTTGGCATCTCCAGCATAGGCCAGATTGAACTGGGTTTATCTGATATAGGAGGTGTGGTGTCCTGTACCAGTGGGTTAATAATTTGTAGGCTGTCTCTTGTGTTTTACTGTGTGTGGAGCAGTGGTGTGTGAGGTAGCAGATGGATTCCCATTCTGTGTCTGTCAATGTGTGTCCTAGGGCTTTCTCCCATTTCCCCATAAATACAGGTGTCTCGGTTGGGATGTCTGTTTGCAACATGGTGTATAGGAAGGACACTCCGTGTGGGAGCGGGTCTGGATGCATGCATATCACCTCTAATGTGGTATGTTCTCTAGTGAGTGCTGAGCCCTGTGGTAGGGTGTGGATGTAGTTGGTTAGTTGGGAATATCGAAAGTTGTGCATGAAGGTCGGGGGTACTTCTCCCATCATGTCCGGAAGCTTTTTGCATTTCCCGTCCTGCATGACATGATGTAGGCATGGGTGTGTGTCTGAAAGGATGCCTCTAAGGGCCCTTGGGTCTAGTCCCGGGGGAAAGTCTTTGTTAAACGTCAATGGAAGGAGGGGAGAAGGGTTTCCCTTCACCGCTACTCTCCTCCATATTTTCAGGGTGTGTTTGGTGTAGATGGACATTTCGTCCCAGTTCGTCGCGTTTCGGTCCCATGGCAGTCCCGAGATTGGTCTACCCGCCTCCGTCTCCTCCACCGTCTTCCACAGTTTGTGTACCCTGTCTTTTGTCCACTCTACAACTCTCTGTAGGTGTGTGGCCACATAGTATAGGTGGAAGTCTGGGAGGGCTAAGCCTCCTTTATCTTTAGGTCGCGTCAGGATAGTGAATTTCACCCTTGGTTTCCCCCCATTCCATACGTATCTTATCATCTCTGTTCGAAGGGTTTTAAAAAAGGGGCTCGGGAGCTCGATGGGGATGGCTTGGAGGAGATAGAGGAGGCGTGGTAAGAAGTTCATTTTTATTACTTGTACCCTCCCCAGCCAGGAGATGTGAGGGTGTGCCCATTCCCGCATGTCTTTTTGAAATGTCTGAAGTGTGTTTGTAAAGTTTTCCTTAAGCATGTCCCCGCTCTGCCTAGTCAACCAGACTCCCAAGTATCGGATCCTGTGCTCGGCCCACTGGAAGGGGAAGCTGTGTCGAAAGGAGTTCGCCCGTGTAGTAGGGATGCTGATATTAAGAATGAACGATTTACTGTTATTGATCTTCAGGTTGGATATTTCTCCATATACCTGTAGGTCTTTCTGGATGTTTGGGAGGGAGATTTCAGGGTTGGTTATGATGAAGAGTAAATCGTCCGCGTAGGCGGCCACTTTGTGGTGCGTGGTACCTGTCGTTAGGCCAGTTATGTCTGTGTTGTTTCGGATGTGTGTAAGGAACGGTTCGAGGGCGAGGACGAACAGGAGTGGCGAGAGGGGGCATCCCTGCCTCATGCCATTGTGTATTTGGAAGGCGTCTGTCAGTGCCCCATTTACCAGCACTTGGTTCTCGGTATAGTGCCTCTATCCATTGTTGCATGTGCGGTCCTAATCCTACGTGGGCTAGTGTTTCGAAGATGTATGTCCAGCTTACTCTTTCGAAGGCCTTCTCTGCGTCCGTTGACAGCAGAAGAAGACCCTCTTTCATACTCTCTTTCCCGTGCATGAGAGTGAGCACTCTGATGGTGTTATCTCGGGCTTCTCTACCTGTCACGAACCCTACCTGGTCTGGGTGGACCAGTGAAGGGATATGTTTTGTAAGTCGGGTTGCCAGGATTTTGGCCAGTAGTTTAATGTCGCAATTTATTAGTGAGATCGGTCTGTAGTTTCCGCATTGTTCCCTATTTTTGCCGTCCTTGGGGATAATAGTGATGTGGGCTGTTAGGGCTTGTCTGTGGGCTGTTAGGGCTTGTCGTATCGCGTTGAACGCCTCTACCATGGGTGGGTATAAGTCTTCGGCATATGTTTTGTAGTATTTGATCGGCAGACCGTCTGGTCCTGGGCTTTTGCCTGGTTTGGTTAGCTTAATCGCTAGTGCTAATTCTTCTATTGTGATTGGTTCGTTTATTAGCTCTGCTACCTCTGGGTCTAGTGTCGGTGTCTGGTATTTCGTCAGGTAGTCGCGAATAGTGGCACTGAGGCGCATTGTCGCCGTATTGGTTTTTGGTTGAGGGAGTGCGTATAGTTCTGTGTAGTATGTACGTATTGTTTTCATGATGTCTGTCGGGAGTCGGTGTAAGGTCCACTGTTTGTCTCTTATCTTGTCGATGTATGTGTGTTGTCTCTGTTTCCTCAGCATTGCGGCTAAGAGTTTGCCGCTTTTGTTTCCATGTAATGTAAAAAAGGTTTTGTGTCTGGTAGCGTCTCTGTGGTGTTTATAGTGTAGTAGTGTGGCTAGTTCCCGTCTTAGTTGTAGGAGTCGGGTTTGGTGTGTGTGGTTTGGGGTTTGTTTGTTTTGGTCATCCGTCTCGTGTATGTTGGCTATCAGTTCCTTGAGTCGAGCTTCGGCTTGTTTCTTTGCTATTGCTCCCTGTTGTATATAGTGGCCCCTTATCACGCTTTTATGCGCTTCCCACCGTATCATCGGGGATGTTTGCTCCCCTGTGTTGGTTAGCAGGTAGTCCCTGATTTTCTCCCTTATGAGGGTTACGACTTCTAGTTTAGTGAGTAAGTATTCATTCAGTCTCCATTTCGAAGTCGTGGGGCGGTAGAGTGGTGATTTGAGTTTGAGTGCCACTGGGGCGTGATCTGACCATGTGGCCACTCCGATTGTTACATCGGATACTAGGGAGAGGTCGTGGTATGTGGTATATATGTGGTCTATTCGTGAGTAAGAGTTGTGGGGATGGGAGTAAAAGGTGAAGTCTCTCACGCCCGGGTGGTGGGCTCTCCAGCAGTCCACCAGGCGGTGACTGCGGAGCAGGGATTTAATGGTGGAAATTTGCTGTGTGGGGATGTGTGAAGTGCCTGTCGAGTTGTCCCATGTCGGGTCGAGTGTTACGTTAAAGTCTCCCCCTATTATAAGAGTCCCTTCTGTGAAGGCTTGGAGTTTGCGGAATGTCTGTTTGAGGAAGCGATATTGCTGTGAGTTTGGTGCGTAGATGTTTGCAAGCGTGTATTGGTGGTCTGCGATCTTCCCTTTAAAGAATAGGTATCTGCCCTCATCGTCTGTCATACATCCCCCCTCCTGGAATGGCACCTTCTTGTGAAAAAGTATTGCTGTCCCTCTCACCTTGCCCCCTTGGTAGTCGCTATAGTATCCCTGCGTGTAGTGCTGATTTGTCAGTTTGGGTCTGGTTCCCTTTTTAAAGTGGGTTTCCTGTATCATGACTATTGAGGCCCTCTGTTTGTGGAAGTCTCTGAGCGCTCCTGATCTCTTCTCAGGTTTGTTTAGGCCTTTTGCATTAATCGTGAGAATGTGCAAAGATTCTGGGGTCAATGCCATGTCGTCTAGTCAGGTCTGGTTTTTGTCGTCAAGTGGTGTGGGGGTGGTTTCGCCCTAATTCACTGAGGTTTGTGTAGTCTCTGGTCGTCGCTTGTCCTGCGGTCAGTGTCGGGTTGGAGGGTCGGGGGTGGGGAGGTAGTCTTAGGTTTTCCCTAAGTGTTTCAGTGCCTGTGTCACTGATCGTGATGGCTAGGTTTAGGCGTCGGGGAGCATCTGTCCACGGCACCACCAGTGATGCGCGTGGAGTGCTCACCTGTCGTGTGTCGCCTTGCCTGTCGGGCGGTGGTTGGGGTCCAGGCGTCTGGATCGATTCCTTGGTAGTGTGTCCTGTCTCGTGTTTTCCCTATGCGGCTCCTTGGTGCCTGCTTTCCCCGCCTCTGGGTGCGGTAGCTCTCGGGCTTGTGTGGGTGTGCATCTTTGTGAGTGGCCTTTTGTTTTCGGCTAGATAGTAAGATGTAGACAATAACAATAACATTAACATTCCAGTATATAGTCACAACAGGTGAAAACAACATTTTCAACTTTTCGTATCAGAAGTTTATGTGCCGTTTGTCCCCGCCCCCCTTTACCCCAGGTTCCCTTTGACCCTCCTGGCTAAGGTGTTTTTTGCGTCTCTCGTTGCTTCGTGGCTTGTTCGTTAGTTTGTTGGGGTGCGTGCGTGTTCTTAGTGAGGGCAGATTGTGTAGGCTGTTTCCTTGCTTCAGGATCTGATCGGTATGGTCTCATATTGTCCCTGTGTCTATGTTGGGTGTATCCTGTCTAGTGTATCCTATGTGTCGTGCTATTTCTCCGTGTTCCGTGGTGTAGACTATACAGGGGATGGTTGTGGGTTAAATATTCCTGTTGCTCTGGGTGCGAGTAGGTGCCCCCACCCCGGGTGTGCCCCGCCGGCATCGCCCACCGCCTGCTCCCCGTGGATCGTCACAGTGCGGTTAGGTTCTGGCGGCCAGGCCCAGCCGGGGGGGCGGGCTCCCCCCCCCTTTCCCTTTTATTTCGGTGTTGGGGCAAGGAGTGTGCTCCCCTGTTTCCCCTCTCCCCACCATCTGGCTTCAACCCGTTTAGTCCAGGGGTAGCCCATAGGGCTTAGGGGTTCTGTAACAGTCCTGCCTTTTGGGCCTCCAGGCCTAGAGTATGTCTCTGAGTCTCTCTTTTTGTTTCTGTGCTGTACCTCTTTGGGTGTGTCACCTCTTGGGTTGTATACTTGCGGTTCTGGGGTTTTCATCGCTGCGTTGTCAGGAATTCTGGTTTCCTCGTGTGGGGGCTAGCGGCGTCTATCTGATCCGCGGTTGAGTTTTGTGGGTTCCTGGGAGGGCGGGCGGAATACACATGGTCTTTTACATGTTGGTACCCGTAGGGTGAGTTGTCTGCTGTCTCGTCCTTCTGGGTCTGGGTGGTTGTTGCGTCTGGCGTTGCATCTCAGGTGAATAGGCGTAGAAAGCCATTGGATCTGGCCATGTCAGTTGTATCGGCGGTAGTTGTAGTTGTCTGCTTAGGTCTTATAAGTCTGCGCCGTTCCGTACCGTAAAGGGGCCGTTGCTTGTGGTGACTTGTACCCCGGTGGGGAAACTCCACCTGTATCTGATCTTATTGGTCTGCAGTATTCGTGTGAGTGGGCGCATGGCTCGCCGGTATGCCAGTGTTGCAGGGGAGAGATCTGGGTACAGTTGTATTTCTGTGCCGTTGTGCATGATTTGCCTTTGTCTCTGGCACTTCTCAGGATGTCTTCCTTCACTTGGTAGTGTGTTAGGCAGCATATTACATCTCTGGGGGGGGAATCTGGTGGGCCCCTGGGTCTGAGGGCTCTGTGCGCCCTGATAAATTCAATGGGCGTCGTGGTCGGCCTTTGCAGGAGGGTGTTAAAGATTTACGTGAGGGTGTCGCGCACTGGGGATGTCTGGTCCCATTCCTCAGGTAGACCCCTGATTCTAATGTTTTGTCGCCTCCCCCTGTTGTCCAAGTCCTCTATGTGGAGGGCCATTTGGCTTAGCTGTGCTTCTTGTCGCCGTATGGTGTTTGCTGTGGCATTCTGTGCCGATGTCACATGGTCACAATCCGCCTCCAATTGGGCCAATTTATTATGAATCCCCTGGATGTCTTCCCTCAGGGCCTGGAGTTCCCCAGTGATGGACTTATGGAGGGCGGCATTAGCCTCCTTCAGGTCAGTCTTAGTGGGTAGGTTCTGTATTAGTGATACCCAGTCCAGCTGGGTTAGGGGGGTGTCTGTCGGATGGTGTACCTGTTCAAGGCCGTGCTGTCCGTCCTTGGGTGAGGTCGGGCGGGTCAGGCCCGAGGCCTCTGGGGCGCTGGAGGCCTGAGAGGCATGGTCTGTCTGGGCCGTGAGGTACTGGCGCATGTTTTGTGCTTGCGACCCCCTCGGCATGTTGGCTGCCGCCACGGTTTGCTGTGGCTTGTGTGTTTTGCCCATTTTGGGCGTCGATGGGGCTGTCGAGGCGGGTGTATGTTGTGAGCCTGGAGGGAGCTCGTGGTTCACGCCGCCATTCCGTCCGGCGCCCAAGCCACGCCCCCGACATTCCCTTTTTCTAAGCTGTACAGTATATACATAAAAAAAAACGATACACATAACCACCACATCACGACTGCTGTTTTCTTGCACTTCATAGTCCTTCTGTTGGCTGCTCTTCCAGGGATCCACTCCGTCTCCTATTATCTGTAAATGAGAACTAAGATACTATGTTAACATTTACATTAACTTGGCATAAAGTTCTCATCTCCCACATCTAACAAATACACAGAAGGGCTAATTTTGTCAAGCACAATATATGGACCTTTCCATTTTGGTTTTGGAAATGGGTAGTAAGGGGAAAAATCTTGCAACATTACTCCGTTTCCAATCTGAAGCTGTTATATCCCTTTTTAAAAAAAAAAAAACAAAGATTCAAAGATGTTTGTCAGTATGCAATCTATAGAAAACTGACAACAGTCAGAAAACAGTCTGTAGTCATACAAAGATAAAAATCAGCTTAAGGCTATTTTTATTGGTAACCATATATAGAAACAAAAGAAAAACAAACATACATACACATGTAGAGAAAAACAAACCAAAAATATGGAAGTTAATTGCTGGGAACCCTCAATTGATCAGTCTTTCCCTCATCTCTCATCTGTTCCCTAAGCGCTTTTACGTCTGCCGACAATCTCTCAGTCTGTCTCTTCAGATCCCAGTATTCTCTACTCCCCTCTTTATTCCTCCAATTATCCCAATTTCGTCTATTGGTCTGATCATCCCATCTATGGTTCCTTCTCCAAGTATTCTCCCAATAACTGTTCCTGTTGTTTCTTCGTTTTTCTCCCCAACTGTGATTTCCCCAGTTATTATCTCTCCTTTTTAGCCTCTCCCAGTTATTATTATTATTCCAATTATTGTTAATTACCTGAGGCTCATCCCATCTATTTCTCCAATTATCTCCCATTATATTGCTCCCTTTAGCACTATTCCTATGGTCCCTCTGTGAATCTCTCTGTCTTTTGTCACTATCAGATTCATTCTCACATCTAAAATTTCCCACATGCTGAAATCTATCTCCCCTGAATGGTTTCTGAAGATACATGGCAGACCTGTCTCTCCTCTCTACTCTGAAAATCCTTGCAGCATCTACAGCAAAACTCTCAATTTTAACCTTTCTTCGCCACAAAGTATCAGCTCTTAACAGTAAATCACACATTTCTGATGGGTTTGGGGTTACAGATAATATCTCATCTTTAATATCTTGCTCTAATGCATCCAAAAACATTGATCTATGCACCATCCCTCCCTGTTCAAAACCAGGATCACTGACACCAAACTGTTCCATCACTGTGGAGATTCTAGCTGATAATTCATACGGAGACTCTTGTTTCAGCTGTTTAATTTTTCCAGACAATGACACATTTGATGTAACTCCATAAAGTGCTCTCAAGATCTCTTTCAACATATCCCTAGTTCTACGCTGCTGACCACATGTCTTTACAATCCTGACCCACAATCCATTTCCAACAACTCTCTGCAGCACTCTTTCCATATCACTAGTTGTCAAACTATACATCTCTTTCACTCTTTGAATTCCACAAAACCATTGCAAAAAGCGATTGATATCCTGCTGAGGGACCTGCCCTATTTCTCTAACTATGGCATCCATTTCTTGTGGCTTCAACTGCTTACTAACCAGCTGAATCTCTCCAGAATTATCAGGATTCAACACTGTGGTTGTTGTAGTTGAAGCCGCAGGGAGATTTGTCACTGACTTTTGTTTCAAATCCTCCCATGGATAAAGAGGTTTGTATCCTGTATCTAGACCCTGGAATTTCAGATACAGGAGACCTACTCGAAGGTGCCATGCTTTCTGCCATTTTATTAAAAGCCATATTAGTAGCATGTCTGCATTCATCCAATTCTTTTTGCATCTCCAAAATTTTCTCATTCAGCCTCTCATTCTCCACTGTAAGCTCCTCACACATTTTTGCCTTTTCAGTCAAAGCTTCACCAGTTGTAACTGCATGCACTCTTAGATCTACAATCTTATTATTCAATTTCTCAGATTTCATGTTAATTACTGAATTAAGCTCTGCCATTTCATCCTCCTTTATTTTTACAATTCCCTCTAATTTTAAACAAAATGATAGTAATGCTTGCATAATACACCCTTTTCTTTTTTTTATCAGAAACATTTTTATCAAATAACATTTCTCCTAAAAACTCCTGCATTTTTTCCCATGACTGTTTACAGTCCTGAGAGATTTCATAAGGACCACCAGGTCTCTTAATATAATTCATAAGCCATTGTTTAACATTTTCTGAACAAGCCATATTTGCATCTACCTTTTTGCATGCCATATTAAAAATATACACTGCAGCAATAGAATAAATAACAAATATACTCACCAAGCTGTATGCAGACACTGGAAACCTCTTCTGGCTGACAGTCACAGAACCAAATACGTTGATGTTAAAACTTGGATCCTAGGCAGATTCTGAAGAAAATAAATCTTCCGGCCACGGTCACGGCACCAATTATGTTGTATAATCCTTCTCTCACCACCAATACTTCCAATTGGTATAGTTTTGAGAGAAATCCACTCTGTGTTGTGTTTTAATAGTGAATGTAATATCCCTGTGTCACCTCTTCCAAGAACTAACATATATCTTTATCCCCTTGTCCAGATAAATATATGACTAGAACTACTAAGGTATTCTACCCGATATTACAAATAAACAGCCAACACCATAGTTCTTACCAGAGAGAAATCTTTACTTAGAATCTGCCCAGTTAAATATTACAGAAGAAGAATGTTACAGAGTTATAGTTAAAATTCATTCATAACACTCATACATTCCATCTATCTAATACTATCTGCTACATTGTGTATAATAATATCTGCTACATTGTGTATGTGCTGTGCGATGTTATGTGCAGCATGTGTGTCTTACCAAACCTAATCTAATGTCATGTCAGTAACTTCTATTTTTAAAGGAATTGGTTCCCATGTTGTAAATAGCAAATTCCTCAACTCAATTGATATGTAAATGTGATTTACTTTCCCAAGGCCCAAAGTGTTGTCTATCCTGTTATTTTATTTAAGTGTCAACTCTCCCAGCCATCCCTTTGCCTCTAACCCAAGGTGTGTTTTCCTAGATAGGGACTCCTTTGAAGACCAGTTGATATGTAAATGTAATTGGTGCCTTTCAGGTGCTTTATCTTTCCAGCTATCTAAACAGAAACTCCCTTTGAAGATAATTCCTGACCTCCCATACACACAGACTTAATCAAGCACATATTAAACAGATATATACATAATATTTTCCCCAACAACACTCACCTCGCCACTATGGTAGAATCAAAGGAGCTTCCCATACCTATTGACTCCATCTCTGAACTTTGGTGGCTCCCATTCCACTTCAGGACCTTTGGTATGTCACGAGGTGTCATACTATCCAGAACCAGTATCGAAATACATGCGGTTATGGGACATAGGTGTAGTTCTCTGTTCCCTGCGGGTTTGGCTAGTTGTTTTGGATCTTCACTTCAACAAACTCTAGGGGAAGCTCATACTACTTTCACGTTATGTGGCAGTGTCTACACCTCTTCAGCCTTCACAATCGAGCCAGCCTCTCTTTTTGTATACCGTACCTTTCATACCAGTTACGGCCACCACTTTAGCTGGGTGGGTACATTCGCTATTGTTCATAGGGTTGTGGAGATTGGTTTTATCGGTCATTCGGGACATGGATGCATCTCTGGCATCCACGGCGCATGTTTTCTTCACCGATTTTCGTCGGTTTGGTCGCGGGAAGAGACCTTCAGGGTATTTTACTTCTTCAGACTCTTCATGCATATTGTGTTCTTTCCACAGCGTTAAAAATGCAAAATATGAAGCCTCCTGTCATGTTGTAAAATTGTAGATTATGCTAATGTAGTGTACCCATAATCTTAATTTTAATAATGACAGGAGGCAAGTATTTTCCCTCCCTGTTTTGCCTCCCTATACTCTGGGAAGTTTTGTTTTCACTGTTTCCCATTTTCACAGTATCGTATTTTGTAATTCATATCTTCTGAATATTTATAGGATGTTTCATCTGGTTGATGTCCGTTTAATCTTTGTTTGTATGTTACATGATGTTAGATGTTTGTACGATGCATTACATTATAATTAAAAAATATTGTGGCGAAAGTGACCTCGCCACTGGTTTTTAGAGAGGCCTGCTTGCCAGCCTCTTACCCTGGGACTATGGGCCCTGTGATGACCCATGTTCAAAAGTACTGTTTCTGCCCCTTGGACGTTTAACTGGAAAAGATTCAAACATGTGGCGGCGGTCATCTTAAATTGTCCAGCAGTGTTTTGTCGTCGAGTGTATGGAACTGTTTTGGGCATGGGACCATGTGCATGGTGGGACAAAAATAAGACTTCCAGGAAATTCCTGCACCCCTTAACCGATCTTGGTAATTTTTGGATATGTTGTTGTTTGTGGGGATATGTTGTATTTTGGGGTACTTTTGGGGGTTTGTGAAAATGTATCTTTTTTCTGCTTAGAGTTAATTGAGTTAGTCCCTTGTTGATTATATCACAGGCAGAGGGGAGGGCTTGTGTACACTGTATGGGAGTGACTGAATGTAAAACTATGTTTTTATTGGCTTATGTTCCTTTTGTCCCTATTTTCCATCAGGTCCAGGGGGTGTGCCTCTGACCTGAAAAACTGTATATAGTTTCCAGACTGTGGCAATAAACCTTCAGTTCTACTTCACCCTCAATCTACAGTCCTGTCTCTTATTGGGGGAATCTGCTACAAGGGATTGCAATGCTCTTCATACTTCCTTGAATAATCACTAAGGTCTTGTAAGAGCTCGTTCCTGTTCCTGCTTCACTCTCTGGGGAAAGAGAGGTTCACCCACTGGAACCTGGAGCCTTGTCGTAGGTCCAGGGTGGGTAGGAGACAGCGAGACCCCAATCAAGCTGCTGCGGTTCGTGGGGTCTGCAGTGATTATGGTGTCAAGTGGAGTGCTTGGAGCCCTCAGAAAGCACTAGGAGCATCCGTCGGCGGAGGTACCCAGTCGGGTGCCAGGTGATCCGTTACAAATATATATCGTGGTATTGGACTTAATGTGGACAACAGTTTGTTTCCATCACCTTTCACTTGTTTCTGTTCTTATCAGTGTGAACATCATTGGTGGATTCGGCATTGGACAAGCTGGAATACATCACATTTCGGATCAAGTTTGAGTTCTACATGTTATTCAGGACTTTGGTTATGTTCCCTGACATTGGTATAGACTGTTTTCGCATCAAAGAAAGAGGAAGTAATGTGTCTGTCAGGGCTTTATATATGGATGTGATACCTGTTACTGATTGGTTTAAAGTTTATTGATTGACTTGTGCTGCTGGAGGCATACGTAAAGAAAGTTATGCAAAATACTCGTCTCCTGTCATTATTAAAATTAAGATTATAGGTACACTATGTTAGCATAATCTACAATTCTCATTTATTATATCTTTTCAAGTGATATCCCCAATATTGTTAATTCTTTTTTTTTAAAAATAAAATAAATTACTATTTTACCTTAGTACCAGTGTGTTTGTATCTTATTTATAATTTTGTGTTACGGTAATTAATTTTGTGTTAAAAATTCCCTTATAATATTAAGTGCTCAAATTAGTAAGTGCCAAACGACTGTCTTCTAGACAAGCTAGATGGTCATTATTTTTGTCTCGCTTTAACTTCATTATCACCTACAGACCCCTTAAAGCTGACGCCTTGTCTAGACAATTTTACGTTGAATCAGATCTAGATCAAGAGACATCCCCTATTATTTCTCCTGAGTGTATTATCGCATCCACTGTCCTTTCTTTATCATCCCCTTTGCTCCGTGCTATTGTGGCGGCTCAGCCCCAGGCACCTTGCAACAATCCTCAAGTTAAATTGTTCCAT